CTAACAAAATCCAGAAAAACAGCCAACCAATTAACCCATTAATGGTGTGAAAATCAGCCGATTTTTTTTCGGCCAAAAGATCTGTCGATTTTCGACCCATCTATGGCCTGCATTACTCTTGGCATTTTACATTCTGCTGCAGTCAGAATACAATTAAAAAATGCTAGCAGAAAGAGAACAAAAATGTATAGCTGAAGACACTTAAATAAAATGTATATGGTTTGTTCCACGTTAAACTTTAACAACATAAAACATTTTCTCTGATCATACACCTTCATAGAAATCTAATCCAAAGGGCTGTCATAATCTGGACATATTATACAGAGACACTATTGTTGTTTTATTAAATGCCAATATCTGTGATTGTAATCAGCTGAATTAAAATTTGTATCGAAACCAATAAAACTGAGAACAAAATATAAAGCAGGACAGCAGACCTGCCTTTATAATCCCCCAAAATGCTCCTCTGAACTCTAAACTCCTAGTTTAAAGAAAGCAAAGTCTAACCATGCCTCTACTATAAAATGCAATGTGGGTGCTTCTCATTGGGGCCCACATTGCATTATAAGATGCAGTGGGTCTCACTTAGTACCAGCTTTCTAAAAAAATGGCATTCAAATACAGATTTAAGTGACTTCTGAGGTGCAGAGAAGCAGCGTGATTCTAAAAGCGTGTAGATGCTTGTTTTCTTACTCTAGAATCTGTTAAATTTTATGTAAAAGGGGGCGAGCTTGTGCCCAGAATTGGGATGTTAGGTACTATATGTTAATCGTAAAATCATCATACATAAACAGCGCAAATAATAAGAACAAATAAATAGTCCCACTCCAAAAATCGTGTAAAATAAAAAGTGTCACAAAAATATATAAAAAATAAAAAAACCACTGAAAGAAAGTCTTTGTTCAAAAGAAGTGTGCTTCCACCACGAACCAGTGCTCCAACCAACATATACCGCACTCACCAGATTCTGGTGAAGTGAATGCCTTTTAGGTATGTTAGGGATCCTAGACCCTTCTTTTCAGCCTCCAGAACTCCACTCCACCTCATGAGACCTTTAATCCACCTTCTAATACCTCCAAACTTCTCCTCCCAGACAGGCTCCAAATTAGTGTAGGAAAAAAATATAAACACATATAGTGTAATACTGCAAACCCAACATGCAATAATGTCAAAGCACCAGGCCATTCATATTTGATAGAATAAAAACCAGCATTATTTATTGCCTCCAAAAGGCTAACACAGCTTACAATACATCCAGGACAGCATAGGAAATCCCACAGCTTGGCAGAAGATGACGGAGTTTCTATCCACAGACCCACAAGATGGCCACTTGGAACGGAGCGCTTCGGATTGCGTTCCACTCACCGGAAGTGAGGTAAGACATAGGCCGGCAGACCGGAAGTGCCTCAATGCGTTTCGCCCCTCCCACAGGGTGTTTTTAGAGACACACACCTCCAGCACCAAGCCGTTTTTATCCACAACACAAGACCCTCTCCTCTTTTCTCATAGGTTAATTGATATTCATGATCCTCTTACCCTGTCATCTTATGCCCACGTGAAATTCCTTCACAATATGCACCATCAAACACGTATCCGAAAACCAATTACTACAGACATTAATTCTATAGTACATGGAACACCGTTTCATATTTCAAAAACCCGATTATTACAAAACTATGATTATATCCCCAGATCATATAGGCAATGTGAGAAACATGCTGATTACTCCCCCATAACCCTCAATAAAAATCTTTATTAAACAAAACATAATATATATTAAATCCAAAATAAAAATTCCCCCCCCCCGCCCCAGTGTTAGAATGCCTGACGCAGTCCCACAGCAAGTTGCCATTACTAGTGTGTATATATATATATATATATATATATATATATATAAATTCCAGTATATATACCGCCATTTGTAGATGCTATAACTTTCACGTAAAACAATTAATTTACACATATTGAGATTTTTTTCTTAGCAAAGACATGTAACAGAATACATTTTGGCCCAAATTTATGATGAAATTTTATTTTTTTACATTTTTTTACTGGACATGTTTAATAGCAAAAAGTCAAAATATTGTTTTTGTCTCAAAATTGTCAGTCTTTTTTTTGTTTCTAGTGCAAAAAATTAAAAATGCACAGGCAATCAAATACCACCAAAAGAAATCTCCATTTTTGTGGGGAAAAAAAGGACATAAATTTCATTTGAGTGCAATGTTGCATGACCGCGCAATTGTCAGTCAAAGTAACGCAGCGCCGTATTGCAAAAATGGTCTGGTCAGGAAGGGAGATAAATCCTCTGGAGGGCAAATGGTTAAGCTAACAAACTTTTAAAAAAGCTGTCCTTCAGTCTGTCCCCAATTGCACAAAGCAGCTGGAAGCTGCCTACAGAGTCCTATGCACAGTATAAACCTGCTCCAAAGAAACAAATACAAAACTAAGAACTATAATTTAATTATTCTAGGTACGCTGTGTGAATGGGAACCTATAACAAATATAGAGAGGGTTTTTCTCAATTTTTATTCCAAAAGTGAAAATACACTTTAACCACTTGCCGCCCTGCCACTGTAGAAATACGTTGGCAGGGCGGCACGAGCAGGCAAAACCACGTTTTAAAACGTGTGTTTTGTAAACAGGTAGGGGGCGCGCGCGACGCGCGCCGTCTCCCTGCCTGTCCCGCTGATCACAGCCACGGATGTCAGTCGCCGGGTCACAGCCGGTCCTTACCGGCTATCTCCCGGCGATCAGCGGCAATCAGTGACAGAGAGCACAGCTGCAGTAGCTGTGCTTTCTGTCACTTCCTTGACAGCTCGAGAACATGCTGACATGCTGACCGGGACAGAAGAGTCCCGCAGTCCCGCCATAAGTTGCTGATCACCGCCATAAGTCGCTGATCGCTGCCATTATTAGTATAAAAAAACCCTAAAAATCCCAGTATCTTTCCCGCCATTTGTAAACGCTATAACTTTCACGTAAACCAATTAATTTACAATTAATTTGATTTTTAAATTTTTTTTTACTGGACATGTTTTATAGCAAAAAGTCCAAAATATTGTTTTTTTCCTCAAAATTGTCAGACTTTTTTTTTTTATAGCGCAAAAAATAAAAACCGCACAGCGATCAAATACCACTGAAAGAAAGCTCAATTTGTGGGGGAAAAAAGGATGTAAATTTCATTTATGTACCGTATTGCATGACCGCGCAATTGTCCGTTAAACTAGCACAGCGCTGTATAGCAAAAAAATGGCGTAAATTGCAGTATCTATACCATAGTTTGTAGACGCTATAACGTTCACAAAAAGCAATCAATATACACTTATTGGGATTTTTTTTACCAAAAACATGTAGCAGAATACATTTTGGCCTAAATTTATAACCAACTTTGAGTTTACTATATATTTTTTTATAGCTGAAAGTAAAAAATATTGTTTTTCTTCAAAATTTTTGGCCTTTTTTTGTTTATAGTGTGAAAAATAAAAAGCACACAGATGATCAAATACCACCAAAAGAAAGCTCTATTTGTGTGAAAATTTTGACGTAAATTTCGTTTGGGTCCAGCATTGCATGACTGCGCAATTATCAGTTGAATTAGTGCAGCGCCGAGTAGCAAAAAGAGGCCTGGTCATTAAGGGGGGTAAATCCTCTGGAGGTCAAGTGGTTAAAGTACTTTTCTAATTTTACAGTCATATTCTACAAAAAAAAATGTTTGTTATGTGAGCCCATTCACACAGCATGTGCAAAAAAATAAATATTTCTTACCTTTTAGGTGTTTCTCAAGAGAAGGAGTCATGGCAGACTGCAAGGTTTTTTTTACAATGTCAGAATGAGTCTGTCCCAAGTCTTTCTTCAACGCAAGCAGCCTAGCCTCTAATCCTTTAACCTTTTGTTGGGACAGACTGTGTTCAAATTTAGTTGCAATTGATAATGTACTTGCACAGACGGGGTTCATTTTGGCAAACACAGCTGCCCAATCCCCTCATAGACAAATAGTAGGATTTTACCTTGCTATAGGATCCAAAACACAGCATCTAAAAAAAGGTAAGCTGCCATTTTTTTTAAAGTTATGCTATGTGAATGGGGGCATAAAACAAATATAAAGTATGAGTTATCCCAACATGGTTGCCAAAGTGAAAATACACTGTCCACTAGGATGTATTTTGTTGAATTAAGGACTCATTTACACTAACGACTGCGCATTATGGTACAATGCATACATGTGTTGTGCATGCATGCTGCCAAGCCCTGTGATGCATTGTTAAAATGCATCATAGTACTTGTTTTTTTCTCTTTTTAAATTAATTATATGTGCAGCATTGCATTGCTATGTGTTACAGTGAGTTGAAACATGCTGCGTAAAAGAATGCTGCGCAAAGCAATGCAAGTGACAGCCCAAAAATTATAGCACTGGCATTTTTTTTTTTACAGTTTTTTTTTTTCGTTTTGTATCAGGAGCATTGACTCTTTTGTATCAGTCATATGTCTTAGCCTTTATACTAATGCAATTTTTTTTCCCATTAAAGTCATACAGCTATTGCCTGTATATTTGCCCTATGTGTGTGGGAATGATTAAGGTTTATAGCAAACAGTATTGTCACTTTGCTTCAGTATATAAAATATATTTACCTTGCCTCTTAACCTTGCCACAGATTTATTGGGAGCAGAGATTTCGCAGCCATCCCAGTCACTGTAGCTTTACTGCACAAACAGTGATGGAAATAAAGTATTGCATGGGAAGGGTTTTTTCTCTTCCAGGAAAGTCTAAGTTCATCTAAGGTTCAAAAGGTGGTAAGCAGGGCTTGTGAGCTGATTTATTACTCTTACACTTAGACCATTGAAAGCAATGACACATTTTAATGTATCCAATATTTAATTAGAATAATGCCAGCTGGCTACCAAAGTGCAAATCTGGACTTTAGTAATATTGAAAAATAGCCCTCTTGGACCTATTTACATTTGGTAATTGCCCTTTCTTTTTTATCCTTCATCGGCTAGTTTTAAAACTGTATAATTTATCTGGGTAGAAATTAAAGTCCCATGATGAATTCCAGTTTAAAACATACTGGTAATCACATTTAGTTCTCAAAGTACATGGCAGGGGTGGACTGACCATTTGGAAACTCGAGCACTGCCCGAGGGCCTGTTGTCAGTAGGGGCCCCATGAGATGTCCCTGGTACCTTTTTCATTGGCTTTTTTGAGTTTGGGCAAGGACACAGGGGCCCCATGATCCCTATTGCCCGGGGGCCCCATGAGTTGTCAGTCCGCCCCTGGTACATGGCTCAAACAAATTAAAGGAACACTTTTTAATCAGAGTATAGCATCAAGTCAATTAAACTCCTGGGATATTTGATCAGTTAAGTAGCAGAGGGGGTTGTTTAATCAGTTTCAGCTGCTTTGGTGTTAATAAAATTAACAACATGTGCACTAGATGGGCAACAATGAGACGACCCCCAAAACAGGAATGGAGGTGGAGGCCACTGACATTTTTTTCCTTACTCATCTTTTATGACTGTTTTTCACTAGTTTTGCATTTGGCTAGGGTCAGTGTCACTACTGATAGCATGAGGTGATACCTGGACCTTACAGAGGTTGCACAGGCAGTCTCACTCCTCCAGGATGGCACATCAATATGTGCCATTGCCAGAAGGTTTGCTGTCTCCCAGCACAGTCTCGAGAGCATGGAGAACATTCCAAGAGACAGGGAGGTACTCTAGGAGAACTGGACAGGGCCATAGAAGATCCTTAAACCATCAGCAGGACTGGTATCTGCTCCTTTATACAAAGAGGAACAGGATGAGCACTGCCAGAGCCCTACAAAATGACCTCCAGCATGCCGCTGGTGTGAATGTCTCTGACCAAACAATCAGAAACAGACTTCATGAGGGTGGCCTGAGGGCCCGACATTCTCTAGTGGGCTCTGTGCTCACTGTGCTATACTTGTCATTGGAACAGAAGTAAAGAAATCTTCAAATGAGGATATCTGTTCTGGTGACAACTACCTAAGAGGGTATTTCCTCTCACGTTAAAGAGATTCATTCTCACTTTATGCTGTGTCCCTGGACAGCAAATTAAGAGAAATCTCTCTAATAGGACACAAATAGCAAAATAAATACATAAATAAATGATTAAATAATTTAAAAAAAGAGAAGGAAACCTGGCAGGGTTTTTTCCCATTTCTTACTCTATCCAAAACTAGAAAAAAAGATGCACTTTAATATTCTCTGTAATTGCGCATATATTTTTATATTTTATCTGAATAGAAATTGATTGTTATTGAGTTTATTTTGTTTTACAGTGAAGGTAGTATGGAAGCTCTAAAGTTATAAATTGATGATGAATTAACCTCCAGCTGATATAGGATCTTCGCTGCGTTTCACTGTGAGTCTATACTATTCCTGAGATTAACATTACTGGAGATTTATACTTAATGCGTTTGGAAAGGTTTTTTTTGGGGGGTTTTATTTAAATTAAAATCACAAACATGCTATACTTATCTGCTTTGTGCAATGGTTTTAGGCAGAGCAGGCCTGAACCTCCTCTTCTTAGGTCCCCTGCCAGCACTCTCCGCTCCCCCTCTTCTTTGTGTGCCCCCAAACCAAGTCTCTTGCTATAGGGGCACACCTGTGGGCTTGATACTAAGCTGGGCCATGGGCATCTATTGAAACACACAGTGTGGCTCAGCCCCACCCCCAAATCTCTGCTTACAGGATTTGATTGACAGCAGCAGGAACCAATGGCATCCGCTGCTGCCTCTGGGAGAAGAGAGAGCAGAGAGCTGCCATAGATGGGTGCAGAACTGTATCGAGATAAGGCTCAGGTACAGGGGTAAGGGGGTGACACAATCACTTAGACTTTTTTTTACCTTAATGCAGGGAATGCATTAAAGAACCCAGCATTTTATATTCCTGATATGTGCCAGCTGTGCCATGTACTTGTATGAAAAAGTACCCTGTTCTCTTTGTATTGCTTTCTTTGTGTGAAATGCATGGTGTTCCTGCCAGTCCCTCTTCTTTCCTATTAAAAACTGACCAAACTAAACATGAAAGCACTGTGTGGTCAGTATTCTAGCTATGCTGGGAACTAAGCCTTCTTTCCTCCAGTGATCAGACTTGTGCTGACAGCCCCCCCCCCCGCACAGCTATTCACCGGGAAGTTCAGTGTGCTGCTGTTTCTCTTCCCCCAGCTCCTGCTACAGCTGAGTACAGATGGTATTGGATTACTTATAAAAAAGATAAAAAAAGCATTTTTCCATTTTTTTATATGTATACACAAATGTTTTGCCTTTCATCTCTATTTAAACAAAATATGTTGTTTTCCAAGATGAGGGTTTATATAAGTATACTTTACAGTAAAAAATGTCCAGACTTTAGAACCACTTCAGTGCCTGTAAACCAGCAGAAGGAACTTGCGACACCAAGAACGTTTGTGACATTACACCGTAGTTTTCTAAGTACTGTTTTATAGGTCCAAAAAAATGCTGTAGCTGGAGAGAAAGGGAGAAAAAAAAAAATCAACAACATACCTTATTCCTATTATCAAGAAGGCATTGGAGGGCTGCCAGCTGAGCTACAATGGTACAAAGTATAAATTACAGAAGAGTATTCTGATTTATACAGTATAATTTGCAAAACGGACTAGATATGGAAATTATTATCAAAACTGTCATAGCAAACAAACTTTTAAATACATTGCAATGAAGCTGTCAACCTCTGAAATGAAAAGTCTACAATAAATTACTCTGTGGACAAATGATATTGATACAATTGATCATTAAAGGAATTTCTCATAGCTTCCAGCCAGATACTGTACATGCTGAATGCTGATAATGTTTAGCTGCTGTCCTTCTTGCCACCCTCCTGACCAAGAATACTTTATATTTTTCATGTGACTGACTGGAGAACATGAGATTGAAATTAATTAATGCCAAAATGCAAGTTTCTCAGATCTAATATAGATGCATAATTTACATACTCTAACTTAAGTCGCTTAATGTGTACGTTTATAATAAATGGATGTGTTTGACCCTTGGGACTGGATTTATGTTGTCCTTTATTCAATTGCATTTACATGGCTATTTTGTCTTTTTTTTTTTTGCTAAGGAAAATCCTGGTTGCAGATGGTAGATTAAAATGAACAAGCAGTCCCTTCTGACCCAGAGTCATCTGTTAACCTTATTTGATCCTCCGTCATCTCTACTTATTGCCTTTCTGATTATTACTGCATTACTTCACTGCTCCAGGGATGCCTTGCATACATACGAACGACTATGAGAGATAAAATGAAGCCACAAAAGACAAAGCATTTTCATTGCGAATACACATCCTGCTGCTTTTTAAACATCACTAATTTTAGTTTACTGCCCAGTCATTAGTTTATTTGGCAGTTCTAGATGTGATGTGGCCCCTGGGCCAACAAGATATATTTTCGCCAATCGTGTATGCTGTATTTTGTCCAGGAGCCATGGTAGGACCTGCTCATTACTACCAGCACTCGTGAGTGCTCATCCTATCAAACTCTGCCAGCTATTAGTCTTTATTGTGAGTCAGCAAATTATCCTGTTCTTATACTCTTGCCTGTCATTGCAACACCATGGGAATTATATGCTAGACTCATTGCTTCCACAGAAACTTTACATTTTTATGTAGATAAAACAGGGACATGAAACTCTAATTTGTTTTCTATTTTATTGCGCTATGACAGGGGGGCCAATAGCTGAGTTTTCAGGTGAGTCTTGCATTTTTCTGGTCAATTTGTATCCCTCTTTATTCTCATCAATGCTGGTAGGTTAATTGGCTCCTGTCTAAATTGGCCTTAGTATGTGTATGTATGAATGTGAGTTAGGGACCTTAGATTGTACACCCCTTGAGGGTTAGGGACTGATGTGAATGTACAATATACAGTGGGGATCGAAAGTTTGGGCACCCCAGCAAAAATTTGTATTAATGTGCATAAAGAAGCCAAGGAAAGATGGAAAAATCTCCAAAAGGCATCAAATTACAGATTAGACATTCTTATAATATGTCAACAAAAGTTAGATTTTATTTCCATCATTTACACTTTCAAAATAACAGAAAACAAAAAAATGGCATCTGCAAAAGTTTGGGCACCCTGCAGAATTTATAGCATGCACTGCCCCCTTTGGCAAGTATCACAGCTTGTAAACGCTTTTTGTAGCCAGCCAAGAGTCTTTCAATTCTTGTTTGAGGTATCTTTGCCCATTCTTCCTTACAAAAGTCTTCCAGTTCTTTGAGATTTCTGGGCTGTCTGTCACGCACTGCTCTTTTAAGGTCTATCCATAGATTTTCAATTATGTTGAGGTCAGGAGATTGTGAAGGCCATGGCAAAACCTTCAGTTTACGCCTCTTGATGTAATCCCCCGTGGATTTCGAGGTGTGTTTAGGATCATTATCCATTTGTAGAAGCCATCCTCTCTTTAACTTCAGCTTTTTCACAGATGGCATCAAGTTACCATCCAAAATTTGCTGAAATTTTATTGAATCCATTTTTCCTTCTACTCGTGAGATGTTCCCTGTGCCACTGGCTGCAACACAACCCCAAAGCATGATTGATCCAACCCCATGCTTAACAGTTGGACAGAGGTTCTTTTCCTTAAATTCTGTGCCCCTTCTTCTCCAAACGTACCTTTGCTCATTCCGGCCAAAGAGTTCAATTTTAACCTCATCGGTCCACAGAACTTGTTTCCAAAATGCATCAGGCTTGTCAATATGTTCATTTGCAAAGTTCAAATGATGATTTTTGTGGTGAGGACGTAGAAGAGGTTTTCTTCTGATGACTCTTCCATGAAGACCATATTTGTACAAGTATCTCTTTATAGTGGAATAGTGTACCACAACTCCAGTGTCTGCCAGATCTTTCTGGAGGGATCGTGCAGTCAAACGTGGGTTTTGAATTGTTTTTCTCACAATCCTGCGAGCTGTTCTGTCTGATATTTTTCTTGGTCTTCCAGATCTTGCTTTAACTTCCACTGTTCCTGATGACTGCCATTTCTTAATTACATTCCGAACAGAGGATATTGACATCTGAAAACGCTTTGCTATCTTCTTATAGCCTTCTCCAGCTTTGTGAGCGTCAACTATTTTCAGTTTCAGTTTTCTAGACAACTGCTTAGAAGAACCCATGGTGCTGATTGTTGGGGCAAGGTCAGATGAGTCTGGGCATTTAAAACCTTTGAGATTGACATCACCTGGTCTTCCCAGACAATGATTGAGAACAATCCATGACACTGGCAGGTCTCAGCTTGGCAAAGGGGGCAGTGCATGCTATAAATTCTGCAGGGTGCCCAAACTCTTGCAGACGCCAGTTTTTTGTTCTGTTATTTTGAAAGTGTAAATGATGGAAATAAATTCTAACTTTTGTTGACATATTATAAGAATGTCTAATCTGTAATTTGATGCCTTTTGGAGATTTTTCCATCTTTCCTTGGCTTCTTTATGCACATTAATACAAATTTTTAGCTGGGGTGCCCAAACTTTTGAACCCCACTGTATATGTAAAGCACTGCGTAAATGGACGGCGCTATATAGGTACCCGAAATAAATAAATAAAATAATAATGGTCCTGATTTGGGGCCAAAATGACAATGCTGCTACTGCTCATTTCATGTATTAGTTCTTCCTAAGGAGGTTACTGGCTTACTCTTCCTGACAGGGTTAGAAGCATTTATAGTGGTTGCAAACCCTTACATATACCCAATGAAGTGACTGGTCCCAGGTGATACACAGAGATAAAATAAGTCCTCCACATAAGTTGTACCTGTTTATCTGCAGCTGTCTGTCCCCTATATCTATTAAAAATACATAATCTACACAAGATCTCTCAGCTCTTAGAAGCAGGGGGTGGGGAGCTGAAGTCACCTTCTGCAGAGCTCAGTTAGTAGAGCTGAGAGCTGATTGGAGGGAAGAGAAACCCCCCTTCACACAACATACAGGAACAGAGCTGAGGCTGTGAGTCACAGGCTGTACCTTCCCCATCACAATTTTTCTCCTGGTGCCAGGAAAACTCATAGCAGGGTAATGAGACATCAGACAGAAAAGACACTTAGTACTCTGGATTGAGACAAGAACACACTATAGAGGTATATGCTTTGTTCATTTTTCATGTCTAAGGATTACAACCACTTTAACTCCCCAGCCCCCCCCCCCAAAAAAAAGAAAAAATCTGTATTCCTTTAAACTGAATGTGAATACCACTAAGCAACTTATTCACTCCCTTGTTATCTCTCGCCTTGACTATTGTAACTCCCTCTTCATTGGCGTACCTCATCGCAAGCTATCCCCTCTTCAGTCTATCATGAATGCTGCTGCCAGACTAATCCACCTTAATAACCGTTCTGTATCTGCCACCCCTCTCTGCCAATCCCTCCACTGGCTTCCCATTGCCCAATGGATAAAATTCAAAACATTAACAATAACATATAAAGCCATTTATAACTCTGCCCCAAATTACATCAACAATCTTGTCTCCAAATATCACCCAAACCGTCTGCTCCTCCCACGACCTCCTGCTCTCTAGCTTCCTTGTCTCCTCCTCCCATGCTCATCTCCAGGACTTCTCCAGAGCCTCCCCCATCCTCTGGAACTCTCTATCCCAATCTATCTGACTACCGCCTGCTATGCCCACTTTTAGGTGATCCCTTAAAATCTATCTCTTCAGGGAAGCCTATCCTGCCTTCAGCTAATAACCGAATCTTCTATTTCATCAGTTCATCCCCCTACAGTTATTACATCTTGTACCACCAGCCCCTCCCTCTTAGATTGTAAGCTACAAGGAGCAGGGCCCTCCTAACCCTCTTGTATTGAACTGTATGGTTGCTGTATTGTCTGCCTTTATATTGTAAAGCACTGAGCAAACTGTTGGCACTATATAAATATTGTATAATAATAATAATAATAATATTCTTTTCCATTAAGAACTGAAGCCCAGGCAGGTATAAAAGGCACAGATTAATGCCACTTGGTACTAATAATGCATCACTAAGTGTGTTATGTTTCGTGCAAGCAGTGTAAGTATCTGAATATGACTTGGTATCAGCCTCTTATAGTCCAATGTACAGTTTATGCAGCAGCGTTCAGAGAGGGGAAGGCAGAAGCAGCACAAAGAGCTGTGTTGCACTACAAGGAACATGCTGATAGGAGGAGAGAGCAGAGTGACAGAATGATTAGCTCATCAGTTGGCTGTTTCTCCTTTTACTGTCAAATCACAGGATGGGGAGGAGCCATGTAAGTGAATGTAAAACTGCAGGAGAGAAAGCCCTGTGCTCATCTTCTAGACAGGACTGTACTGTGTAGCAGTACTGTGTAAGTCTGAAGACCAGATGGACAGAAATACAAATACTTTAGCAAGTAAACAGTTCTTATATATATGTTTCATCTGTGTATTTAGCTATTTGTCTGAAGTCCAGTTTCAATATTCCAAAGCTAACACGAAATAATTTTTTACAACAATTTTACATTTCCACTTGCTTGTTGGTTTGCTGTTTTTGTGTAGGACATTTAAATACAAACCTGGAGTTTTTCAGCAGTAGCTACCTATGTTTGTATCTTGTTAACTGACTGCTAATATAAAATCCATTAAGTGTAGTGATTTTGTTGTTTGCAGTCAGTACATGCAAATTGGCTTACTTGCGGTAAGGGAGAGGAACAGCAAATTACAATCATTATAAAACATGGTTTAAGAGTCATATAGTAGAAGAACAAGTATGAATGCCCCTATATCCTTATACTGAACTAAAAACACTACAAAGTTACACTGATAACATAATTGACATTAATGTGAATGCTCACTGACAGATCAAAATAAAACCCTTAAGAGATACCATGCTTTCTCTTTAAATAGGAATTCTCCTTTACATGGAACAAATTATTATACAGATGTCCCTTGAGAGGAATATTCAACTGGAGAAAATGACCTGGAGCATACCAAGAATGCTTTGTAAGGATTAGAAGGATTACATCTTCCAGCTGGTCTGCAAATGCCTTTATGTACCTTAGGCCTGTGCAACCTGCTGCCCCTATTTATGATAAGTGAACCAAAAATGATGCTGACATCAAGATAAGTAGGGAAAAGATGTTTAACTATTATGTATTATAATATAGACCTGTTGCTTAACATTTGCTTATATTACCCTGTTTATAACTCTGTCAAGGCATTTAACATTAAAAATCCCTTATATATTGTTTTAAGTGCACAAAATATTTTTCACAACCTAATGTTAACTATTTTTGCCAGGAAAGTTAGTGGAAATGATCATACATGACTGTATCACCATGTTCAGTGTTTTATTTTATCCCCCAGATAAAATTAAACATGCAGAATGTTTTAATAATTCACAAGATCAGGGGTTTCCAAACTTTATAAACAAAGGGCCAGTTTACTCTTCTGCAGACTTTAGGGGGCCGGGCGGTGCCCAGTGGGAGTAAACAATGCCCTATCTTTGGTATTAGGGGGAGAAATAGTTAAATTCAATGGCAGGAATAGTGCCTCATTGTTGGATTCAATGGCAGGAATAGTGCCTCATTGTTGGATTCAATGGCAGGAATAGTGCCTCATTGTTGGATTCAATGGCAGAAATAGTGCCCATTGTTGGATTTAATGACAGGAATAGTGCCCATTGTTGGATTCAATGGCAGAAATAGTGCCCCATTGTTGGATTTAATGGCAGGAATAGTACCCCATTGTTGGATTCAATGGCAGAAATAGTGCCCCATTGTTGGATTTAATGGCAGGAGTAGTACCCCATTGTTGGATTCAATGGCAGAAATAGTGCCCCATTGTTGGATTCAATGGCAGGAATAGTACCCCATTGTTGGATTTAATGGCAGAAATAGTGCCCCATTGTTGGATTCAATGGCAGGAATAGTACCCCATTGTTGGATTCAGTGGCAGGAATAGTACCCCATTGTTGTTGCCAGTGGAAGGAATAATGTCCCGTGGTTGGTGACAGTGGCAAAAATAATGCCTCAAGGGCCACATCTGGCCCCCAGGCCGCAGTTTGGAGACCACTGCACAATATGATCAATATATTGGAGGATGAATGGTCATGCTAAATTAGGAGCTATCTTCTTGCATCCTACACCCTGAACTTATTATCTAAGTCATTTTGATATTTCTATTTAAAGTGTTACTAAACCCGGAACAGTAAAATCAGTCTGTATATGCAGTAAAGCATGTTTGTTATACTAACTGTGGAACCTAAGGGGTTACTCCTCTGCATTGTGTAAAAAGGCTGTTTGATCCTGTTTTCTCTGATCCTCCACTTCTTCAAGTGTCCCCTTCTTATCTCCTGATAAGACATATCATGTGGAGCACTCTGCACAAGCTCAGTCTGGTATGTATTGCTAGAGAGGTTGGCTTTTTTTCTGCATTTTTTTTTCTGAGAGTGCATGTGATCAGCACAGGGCTAATCAGCACTGTCCAGACAGAGGTCAGGGGTTTAGCATTCTCCTGGAGCAGAAAGAAAACTCCTCCTACAAGCTGTAACCCGTGCTCTGCTGAACACTAATAGAAGTCACAAGAATGCTCTAACTGCTGATGAGAAAAGGTATTTAGCAGTTTATATTTACTAAAATAATTGCACTTCCATGTTCTGTGTACTGTGGGAGACCAGATATAGTGAATGCAGGGTCCTGGGTTTAGTAACACTTTAATGATAATAGTAACATGTAACAGCTACTAAAATGCTTAAGATGCTTAAATTCTCCTCTTGTAATTTTAATGTAAAAAAAGATAGAGAGCACAAGTGTGTAAATGTTAGCTTTCTTTTGATTGTGATTTAATGCAAAAACTAGGCTCCATGCACGTTAGCGTTTTATTAAGCTAAAAAAAAAGGCTGCATAAAAAAAGCTGGTAATAGTGTGTTTTAGTAGTATTTTAGTAGTGTTTAGGAGAGTTTAGGAGCGTTAGCATGTTATTAGCATTTTTATAGTACATGTCGAAAAAAAAAGCTAGAAAAAAAACTGTTAGCATTTTTAGAAGAATTTGGTAGCGTTTAGCATTTCTTTCTGCTAGAAAAAAGCAACAAAAACATGTTTTTCTGTTCCTAGACGCTGAAGCTCAAAAAACACTAATAGCCTAAAGTAGTGTGCATGAAAACATAGGATAACATTATAACGCTATTTAGCTTCTAGGAGCAGAAAAAAAATTATATTAACATCTTCTAGGAGCTTAAAAAAACACTAGTGTGCATGGAGCCTTAAAGTGTAGGCTTGCCAGTGTAAACAGAATTTGTCCACATTGTATATTTTTATTTATGGTTTTAGAATGAATCATAATTGTTCTGATTCTGTAAAAGTGTGAAAGTGAAGTGACTTGATTACATTGCCCAAGGATAACCATACAATGTGCACACCAAATATACAGGCTTGTTTTTCACAGATCATGACCCCTTGGCTTGTAAAAAGTCAAAACAACGGACTTGTATGCACAACCCCAACCTATGATATCTACAGCTAACCAGTTCTTCTCTGTCTATCTATAGCACAAAGGCAGCAATCCATCACTGACCAAAAAGAGTTCACAAAAATATGTATGCAAGCCACAAAGGATACTTTGACCATTGAGACATGCTGAAGGTGGCTTCTAATGTTTTCCATATAATGTCAAATTATTGAAAGTAATCCTCTGTTAAAGCACATTTTTAAAGAAATCAAGAAATCCTCTTTTGTGCGTAATTTAAGTTCACTTTGGTTTTAAGGCCTGACTTTCTCTGACTTCATGGCAAAGCTCAAATAACTGCCCGGTGAGACCATACTAGCCTCTGAGGCATGGTTTCATTAGACGGAATGGTTGTTGGCAAGGCTTACTCAATAAAGTGGAAATAAAGTTCCCAAAACTCTCCTCCCCTCCAATGGTCCAATGCAGGGGCGGACTGACAACTCATGGGGCACCCGGGCAATAGGGGATCATGGGGCCCCTGTGTCCTTGCCCAAACTCAAAAAAGCCTATGAAAAGGGTACCAGGGGCAGCTCAGGGGGCCCCCTACTGACCCTGGTACTCATGGGGCACCCGGGCAATAGGGGATCATGGGGCCCCTGTGTCCTTGCCCAAACTCAAAAAAGCCTATGAAAAAGGTACCAGGGGCAGCTCAGGGGGCCCCCTACTGACCCTGGGCCCTCGGGCAGTGCCTGAGTTCCCAAATGGTCAGTCCGCCCCTGGTCCAATGTCAATGAAGTGCCTTGCTGGCACCAACATCTGCTCCTCAGCTTCTTCAGGGTGCTAGGTCTTTGGCAGTGTTGATTAGCTGTCACAGAATGACAAAACTCCGGCACATTTGCAGGAGTTCATTTATCCCAGGAACATAGGCACCATGCTAAGAATGTACCCTGAGCCTCACATGAGCAGTCCAGTATACATTTGTAAAGAAGACTGCAACAGGAAGGTATGTTTATTTGATTCCAGAGAAGGTAAACCGGGGTAGATTTATTAAAACTGGTGTACTCAGAATCAGGTGCAACTGTGCATGGAAGCCAATCAGCTTCTAACTTCAGCTTGTTCAATTAAGCTCTGGCAATAAAACCTGGAAGCTGATTGGTTTCCGTGCAGAGCTGCAGAAGCTTTTACACTCTCTGGCCTTAGTAAATAACCCCCATAGTGGCTCTTCTACAATAAGAACTTTAGTTCAGCTTTAAGTCAAGGAAGATCATCTCCAAATATCAAAGTAAAGCAAAACCAAAGAAAGGCACAGAAAATGCTTTTCTGAGGAATAATAGATGCATTGGAGTTGATTTGCTAAAGGCAGATAAGTTGTTAATTTTGCTAGGGAATTTTCACTTTGCAAATACATTTTCCCTCAGTTTAGTGAATGAGGTGAGGTTCTGCTGATTTCTTTTATCCAATTATATGCAAGCAAAAATACTGCTAAATAAAATAAAGCTAAAGGGAAATCCCCTTAAAGTGAACAACCTATTTGACTTTAGTAAATCAACTTTCTTGCATTATCTACTCTTAGGCAGGACTGATTATTTTAGAAGTTTAAAATGCAGTTTGAGTTTGGCATTTAATAATAACCCTATTCTGTTAAAAGGCAGCATATCGTTACAGTTTTTGGTCAGTCATACATCTACATATGCATTTGCACATTAGTATAGTCTAAATCACTAACAGCAGAGACCCCTTGCATTGACTGGGGTAACAGTAATAGTAACGAGTAAATAAATACACGGTATATTTCCAATGAAGAGCCCCAATCTCCTTCCTTCTTTTCCCATAATTATGTTGTGGAATTTGTTATTGAGCTAATTCACTTTTTGGAATGCATGGACTAATTAGCGGTTATATATTTTATTCGTTGATTAAATGATTTATTGGTCATTTTTGACCCTTAACACATGTTCCATTCTAAAGTTTGGTAAATGAGTTGTATATGCCTATAACGTTAAATGTTGCTGTTTTTATATTAAATTAATTACATGAAACCATCTCTCCTCAAAGGTTTTCTTCTTTGAAATAGAGCTTGTGTTGCAAAATGGTACTAGCGGGAGCATCATTAACAACAGGGCCATCCATGCTGAAAAGGTATCTGGTGATAACCCAGATAGAAAAGGAGAACTATTCAAGAAGTAAAATAGAAAGATAAGAATGTAATATATTCCAGTAAATAAACAATTTTCTGCATGGACATAGAAATAATAAAATTGGAACAGGATTTTTTTGTGAAGAAGAGAAAAAAACAAACTGTAATCGGATTTATGCATGTCAGCAAAAAAATAAATACTTAATAGAATAAGTGGTAAAATCTGATTTGTAAGAGCTCATTCCCCTATGGAGAAAGCAGAAATAAAGGACCTTTTCATGATCAGCTGGAAAGAGAGTATAACTTCTAATGGAAGTATTATGTTCACATTCTATCAGGTGATGTAAACACTAACTTTGGAAAAGCAAAGCATAATGTATAGCCCAACAACAAAATCATATTCAAAACATAAATTAGGTTATTAGATACACATAAAAAAAAAATATGTCTTATTTTAACCTCCTTGGCGGTATTCCCGAGTGTAGCTCGGGGTAAAGTTTCAGTACCACAAGCGGTAACCCCGAGCTACCATGCGGCGCTTCTCTGCGATCCTTTGGTCACTTACCTTGTCCTGCGCTCCCGCGATGTCCCTCCTGCAGTGTCCCCGGCAATGTAATCCGGCGGATGCCGGCATCTGTCATCTGGGTTCCGTCCTCTGTGAGCGTCGGGACGTACGGGGGATGGAACTGGCGGGAAATTTGAAAATGACAAAAAGTGACATTCACTAAAATCACATAGTAAAACATTACTGTACCAAACCATTTCACATACATTTTGTCCCTAGTGCTTTGTCCTGTGCCCTGCATTCATTTTTACTGTTCTTTCTGCCTGGAAACTGAGAAATGTCCATGGAGTCCAAAAAGCGTCCCTTTAGGTCAAAAGCGGTTTTAGATCAGCTAGAGAACAGTGATAGTAAATTAGAACTACTTGCAGAATTGAGTGATAATGATTCGTGGGGAAATTCGTCATCAGACACTGAAAACAATTTTGTGACTTTGCTCAGTGATGTGTGAACTTGGCGCTATATTTCAAATTTCAGTGTTTTTGGTTTGATTATATTATTGAATTAAATTTATTATTATTATATTATTATTTTTTATGATTATTTATTAAATTATAATTTATGATTTCGTGTTTCAAGTTTTATCCTACCCGAGATGTTTACTAAACTCTTGTTCGGACAGATTTCAGTGAGTTATTCCTAAGAATTACAGGCCTACAATATAAAACGCCAAATTTCCATGCAAAATAATGTACCGCTTTCAGCACCAAAAATCTGAAATAATCATACCGCCAGGGAGGTTAAGGAAAGGATAGAAGATAAAGATATTTGATTATAGTGAGATGAATATAGATAGAGGTTTAAAGCAGATATATCAAGAAGAAATTATTAAGAATTTGTAAACATGAATGGAGAATGACCATTAACCCCACATTCTTTCCAACATCTTTCTTTAAAGGGCCATCCTTTAATGAAGCTTTGGATAAACCAGGCTAATGGTACCAGGCATAGATGACTTCAGTGCTCACTAAGTGTTGCTAAAAGCTATACATTTTTTAGCGTAATGTGTTCCCTGCATTAAGGTAAAAAATGTTCCAGTAGTTATATTGCCCCCTCACCTCCCTTTCATACTTATAGTCCTATACAGATCCAGTGCTGTACATGTCTCTCTCTTCACAGTCTCAGAGACAGCAGATGGAAGCCATTGGCTCCTGCTGCTTTCAATCAAATCCTGTGAGGAGGGAATGGGGGATGGGCTGAGCTGCTCTGTGTGTGTCAATAGATGCAAACAGCCCAGCTCGGGAGTGAGCCTGCAGGCGTGCCGTCATAGGAGGAACTTCCTATGGTC